GAATCATCTCTTGCATTCGGAAGCTTCACTCCCACTTAGCAAATCTCCTCCCCTCAGCCCCCCTTGATGTTTGGCAAACTGAGTGTCATAACAGGTCCAACTATGGACTAGAGCAATCTAACAACGTCTTAAAATGGGGTGAATTTTGGGCCCAATTATGGTCATAATGTCAAAGCTTACTCTACTCCAGTGGTTCCCAAACTTGGCAACTTTAAGACTTGTGGACTTCAACTCCCAGAATTCTCCAGCCAGCTCTGTTGAAGTCCACAAGTCTTAAAGTTGCCAAGTGTGGGAACCACTGCTCTACTCCATAGTTGGACCTGTTATGACACTCAGTTTGCCAAACAGCAAGAGGGGATGAGGGGAGGTGATTTCCTAAGTGGGAGGGAAGCTTCCGAATGCAAGAGAGGCTTCTGTTGCTGGGGGGATGTTTAGACACCAAGGTTAAGTTACGAAATGTTTGAGCAGCACAGACAATCTTTTCCGAAAGCAAAAGAACTGAAACCAATTGGTAAACTATGAACTGTGGGTGGCCTGAAGGGGGAAAAGGGGTTTTACCTATGTGGGTTTTCGCGGCAAAATCTAAGAAGTGACTTTGCTTCTGCTGTACCTAGATGGATCTTTCAATAAAGCTACGTTCTTGGTAATCTAAAAGAGCTGAGAGTTTCTTTAGTTGAAATGGGACAGTTGACACATAAGTCAAGCACTACCTGTGTTCTTCAAATAGATGTTTGGGAGAGGTGCATCTTTCCCTCTCCCTTACAAACGCTTTCATGCTCTTTTCTAACAACTTTAGGACAGGAATGTATCTGCAGGTGTATGCAACTTAACAATGTATTTTGAAAAATGTTAAGAGTGCCAGTTAAAAGGGTGACCTTTTGATATTGTTTAATAGTTCAAAGCGATTGGTGTTCAGTGGTTGATAATTAACAGGTAATACTATCAAACTGCCATTATGTGGCCTTTGAGACCACAGCAGTGGAGAGCCGCCCTCTCCCCACAAGGTTAGAGAATTCTTCCCTGGTGCTTTCTGAGGTTGGAAAATTCCAATCTTGTAAAGTTATGAAAGGAGATGCAGAATCCTGGATAGGATGGGAGGAGTTTTGGATCCAATCCTTGTACAATCTCCTGCCACATCCCCAAATTAGGCCAAAAATCTGGACAGTATGAGAGCTGCTCTAAATTAATTTCTCTTTTCCTGCAAGGGGAGCTATATTTTAGGAGAGAGTAGAAAAATGTAAACATTTTTCTATCTTCATTTCCATCCCTTTGGTCTGTAGCTGACAGAGCATTGGATATATTGGCATGCTTTGACCTTGGCATGAGCCCATAGCTACCAATAAAAAAAAAAAACCACGTTTCATCGTTGACACACAGTCACCCTTACATGCAGTATACATTTGCTTTGGCTGAATCCTCAGTTAGTAACCAAAATGGACACATCAAAGCAATTCTGACCTCTTCCAATATGTCTTGTATCAAACATTTGGAATCATTTCAGAGCTTCAAAGGGTGCCTTTTTGGTTCTTTTCCTGTCCACTCGACATATTTCTGAACTGTCTCTCAACTCTCCATAGAAAGAAAACTTCAAGTTGGGAGCAGGGAAAGAGAAGAATGTAGTCTGGTGATCAATAGCATTCAGCCATATAATTCACTTCAATTTACATTTATTTTTGGTTACAGGCCAAAATTCTGTTTTAATTTTTAATTCCAGCAGCAAACAGTATAATAAAGTAAAAATGCCTAAAAGGTAAGCTGGGTAATTAATTGCTTTTTAATATAGGAAGCAGTCTATCAGATTGTATGTATATACTTGGAGATTCTTTATATTTTGAACCTGTTTTGAATTTTCAAAGAATTTGTCAGGTAATAGAAAAACAGAATTAGTTTCATAGAATAACCAGAGCAGTTTGAAGGGATGGTATTAATTCAGGGGGCCCTGTACGGACAGCTCAGCAAATAGATAACTCTGATTTAAGAGTAGGTCTTCAAAGGAAAGGTTACTTTATTTCCCTTCCAGAATCTTGATGAAGCCTGATGAAAGTAAATGTCTATGATGAGAACAGCAAAGATGCCTTATTACCTTTAGGAATAGTGGGGGAAACCCCAAATAATACATTCTGCTACTATTGTTCTGCAAATTTCCATCTGGGATATGTTGCTTAACCTTTTCTAGAACTCTTAGGCCACAGTATTCTCAAGGATTAGCTAAGAATCTACATGCTTTTTTTCCATGAGGAATCAAAATTTGTTGACAAGGATTACCTGGTTTAAGAATCTGTCAGGCCCCAAGAACTACACATGAATAACAGAATAATAGAGTTGGAAGGGACCAACCATCTGTACAATTTCAGACAAATGGTTGTCCACTTTCTTCTTTAAAACCTCCAGTGTTACTTATGAGCAGTTTTCTTTATTGTTCTTCACTTGCAGACAGAATCTTGTCACACTAAAGCAACTGTTCGCATAACTACAGATATACCCATGAAACATATGGAGTTCAGCCTTTTTAACCCTCTTCCTCCCACCAAACTTTCCAAGCTTCACTGACTCTTTGCCTCTGGAAAGCAGCCTCTCCTTCCTGGGAAGCCAACTTATATTCCACCACAGAATCTCTACCCACCCTGAACAAATAATTTTAGCCAGTATTTCAGAATATAACTAAGGCTGTGCAATGTTTCTTGGAGTCTGAAGGGGTGTTCCCAGCAGGACTCTTAGGAGCCGAAACTTTGAAAGAGTTATGACAGTGATAGCAGCTAGTTGATTTTATGTAATCAAACATGAAATTAAACATGTGAAATCACATCTAATTATTTATTCAGATTTCTAATATATAACTAGAATATAATTTTCAATTAATATTAAGTATCAATAGGCTGGAGACATTAATACTAAGTAATTAATTGAAGACAAAAGCCTTTACTGTATAGCAGATATTTTGATGCAATCTACAGGATTTTTTAAATGTCTTATTTAATTTTTGATAATAAACTAAATACCATTACCATTACCATTGATATTTGAAATCATAATAGTAATTAATATTTTTCTCCTTTTATCTTTTATCTAAACTTTAAATTGTTAATAATCTTTAGTCGATTCTGTACAAGTATCACCGTATCAAAATAACATAAAGGATTATGTACATATATTTTACAATAATATAAGAAAAGAACAATTATAATTTGGAAAAGCTAGGATCAAATATTTCAAATACAGCTTGGTCCAATTGAATGAAAAACACTTTATGTTCTTCAAGCATATAGGATTGTTTTTTAATTTTCCAATGCTCAATAGCTTTTGTTGACTTAACTGATTTCTATCAAATTTTCTTAATATTTAATATCAAAACCATTTTTTCTGTGAAAGGAGAAAAAGTATATATAAAAAAGAGACACTTCTAATAATTTTGCTTTGAACATCCAATTCTGTCCAATTCAACTTAGATTTGTCAATACAAAATCATACCAATAAACCAAACAAAGGGAATGCGTATTCAATTAGCAAGCTTCCGTAGGTCATGATAGATCATATTTATAAGTCAAAGGGTGTGCCAGATTAAAGAATTAGGGAGAGGAGCAATGAACCAAAAGCAGATTGATGATATGTGGAGAAAAGAGAAAGGATGCAGCATGTGCGGAAAGGGATGGTAGCCAAAAGCTGTAACCAAAAATTAACTAGCAAACCAGTGGAAAGGAGTGGCAGGTGCAAATCCAAAGGGCAGAAAAGCATGATCTCAGATCACAATTGGGCAGGAGTGAGGACACAGAAGTGTAAGTAAAAATAGGAAAGTCTTCCTAACAGCATTTACCTGCCACAATAACACACCATTTATTTGTCCTAGTGAATCAACTAATGTTTTTGTGTACTACTCCTATGTTTTTTATGATGCTTTCCCTTTTAGGAACCTTTTCCTTTTTACCATCATTCAAATATCTACACATGGCAAACTGCTGCTTCCCAGACGAGAGGAATTCTTTGTGTGATTCTTTTCTCCAACTTTCCAAATTTATTCATGTAGAGTATTTTTTTTTATTTGTCACTCCCAGGATCCCCATATGCCAAATAAAATGAAAAAGCGACCTGTGAACAGACAACAATAGGCCAGCTTGGAAGTAGCAACAATTACAACAGAGATACCTAACATCCTAGATTTTGTGTAGGAATTTTTTAAATGAATGCTCTCTCTCTTTCTTTTCCTAAAAAGCCTAATTTAGCTTCATTTTTTTTTCTTCCCTAAACTTGACTTCAAGCCTAATGTTCTATCTGTTTAATAGCTGTTAATAAAATCTGATCCATTCTCTCCAAGTCTAGAGAATGCTCACTGCCAGTTTATAAGACGTCGGCTAGTAATGATATGTAATGCCTCTGATCTAGCCAGAGTTGTGTTTGAAAACAAAACCAAAAAGAATTTATATGCTCAGAATAGAATGAATCAAAGGAATCCATGTAGTTATCCTAAAGGAATGTAGGGTTTATTTTTATTGTTTAGCCAAACTTTTTTATCTTAAAGTAATTGATTGTTTAATTCTCTGTTGATTTCCTATTATCTGTAGGCTGGCATAGATGGAGAAAGCATTGGGAACTGTCCATTCTCACAGCGTCTTTTCATGATACTTTGGCTCAAAGGGGTTGTATTCAATGTAACCACAGTTGATCTGAAAAGGTAAATGTTATCAATTAAAGTAAGACTATAAGTTTTTGGCCCTCTTGGAAGGATGTTTTTTTGATTAATGTTATTACATTAATTTATTCCCATCTATATTAGGAATCTTGATTTTCTCATGTTGATAAGAAAATCTTACCCTTTTTAATTATATGGGACTTATTAAGATAGCTACTCAGAAAGAGACGAAGAATTGAATCATTACAAAAGAGGAATAATATGAGTAAGTAAGAGCATACGTGATTAAACATATATTAATGTATTCTTCTTGGTTTCCACAGAAAGCCTGCTGATTTACATAATTTAGCTCCTGGGACCCACCCACCATTTCTGACTTTTAATGGAGAAGTCAAGACAGATATAAACAAGATTGAGGAATTTTTGGAGGAAACTCTTTCACCTCCAAAGTAATGTATATTATCTTTGTTTCTGAAATATTTTATTAGTTATATTAAAATTGTCAGGCACTATATCAAAATAAATGACAAATATATTAATAGCTTTGCTTTTAATTAGTTTGCCTTTCTCATAGCTTGTTAGTCAGGTTACAATTCTAAGTGTGTGTCTCCTTTCTCTATCCTCTGAAGTCAAATTTATCTGAGTTTGAATTGATGGCCAGAAACCTTAGGCCATGAGTTCTTCTATTTTAAAAAATCTTCATTTGAAGTATCTTATTTCAAATTAAATCACAGTTCCTGGGTCTCCAATTGGGAAATAAACTCAGATTCATCATCCAAATAAACTATATAATTAGTTCACTTCTCCAGTAGCTGAATGTCATTCAAGCGTATTAGACCCAGCATATGCAGGTATGAGTATTTATGTCATGCTGAGTTGTGGGATACTTCTTCCCTCATATATAACATGACATCACTCACCAACACTTTTATGGTCTGTAGGATAAATGCATTTGATTTCAGAGACTGCAAGTTGTAAATCTTATTTAATGGTCTTTGGTGGCAGCTGGCAGCAGATACTAAAATCTGATTAATCTTTTAAGATTATGATTCTCAGCCCACCGGCAACTTTTTAAGAATTACAACACATTTTTCAAAATTCTATTTCTTTGTAGAACTTTAATCACACATCTCTTTAAGTGCACACATACTGAGAGCCTCCCTCCACTTTTTTCTGTTGTTACACTGAAAAGGACTATTATAGCTTGGATTGATTTTCTGCAGAGGGAATTAAGCAATAGGCTACATTTACAATGAAATGAAGTGTGTACTGCCTAACTCCTCCATATCATTGAAGATATATGACTTGTTCTGATATAAAATTATAGTTCTTTGGTTTCTTTGTCTTTAAGCATTGGTGCAATTAACCTTGTCATAAAACCCCGGCGGTGTGACTTAAAACTAGTTGGCTTCCTGTGGCACCACTCATTTCAGCAGGGTCCTCTAAGGCTGACATGCTGAGATAAGAGGCAGTTTTAAAGCAAAAATTGATCTACAGAAATGTTGCGTTGTGTTCAAGCAGCACTTGCCAGGAACAAAATGTGTCTTTTAATAGTGTATCTTTTTGTGCATGTATTTGTGAAGTTTTGTTTTTTACTTTCCTGGGAACATTATTTTTTTTTAAAGAAACCCCATCTCTCTCTATTTACAGATATCCTAAGCTTGCAGCCAAGCATCGTGAATCTAATACTGCAGGGATAGACATATTCTCCAAATTCTCTGCGTTTATCAAAAATACAAAGCAGCAGGACAATAACAGTAAGTTGCGAGAGGAGAAGCCACCGCATATGCTTCCTCTGCAGACCTATAGAATACTGTCTTTCTCTGAGGATACATTCTCTTCACTTCTCCATGTCAAACGTATGCATCTTGCCCCCTTTGCTTCCCTCCCCAATCCTCAGCCTCTGTTTCTCCTCCCTCGCTTTTCGGCAGTTCATTAGGCATATAAAAGTGGTCACTCAAATGGGCAATTTTAGTTGGTGCCTATATCCATAGTGTATTTTATAGAAAGAAGAAGAAATATTATTGCCATTTATGAAGGTGTAGGGGGCATTTATTCATTTCCCATGTTGCTTTCTTACAGTAATTTGGATGTGGATTTGATTGCTGAATGTCAAAGCTGCAGGGACTTTTCTTCCAAGTGCCAACTGTAGAATAATATTGATAGCTCAGCCACCTTTGGGTAAACCTTGCTTAAATCAGAGTATGGATTGATGTTAGTGGCTCTTAAACTGTCCTGATAGGGGGAGAATGCTGCTGCTAATGAAGGATGCCATGCACACTTCCCTCACCAATGACTTCCTCTTCTTTTTCTTGGATTGAAGGAATTTGCAGTTGCATGTTCTGCCTTATTTGATATTTTATTTATATTATTTTCTATCTCTTTTTATAAAGAAATTGTGAAGGTTGGCAAATTCTCAATTCAGTCTAAGCACCCCCATTTTTAGATGATGGAAGAAGGAACATGGTGCTGCTCAAATGATAATAATATGAATGTGATGGTGAATCCATATTAGGATAGTAAAATTCCTTTCACTCAGTTGAGCCCTACAGGAATTCATGTAAGAGTTTCCTGGATTTTCAGCCTTCCTCTCTTTTGTTTGATTAAGTTTGCTGCCTTGAAATATACAAGTTGAAAGGTCTGGAACAGCCTGGGTAGGACTGTAAACCCAGAAGCAAACACATATCAAAGTTCCACAACTTTTAAGCATCTTGAAAGTGAAGGAATTGATTCCAGATTTTCAAGTTGTGGCAAGCTGTGTTTAAAGAAAGCGTGCATATTTATTATTTCAAGCCAGTTCAATTACAGCCAACTTGATTCCATCTACCCCCAACATCACGCAAATCATTTTAATAACAGGTTTTTCTAAGGCTTGATCTTCACCACATACCATCATAGACTCTGCTTTGACATTTTCTATATAGTCCTAGTGATGTAGTTGCCATAAGTATATATATATATATTTTCATTTCTGATCCAAGAACAAAGAATTCTAGGGAGATACACATGGGAAGATACTCAAAATCAGGTTTTTAAAGAATCTTCTCTTTGAGAATTAACCCCTAGAGTTAGTTTCTTCTTTCTCTTTCTTTCTTTCTTTCTTTCTTTCTTTCTTTCTTTCTTTCTTTCTTTCTTTCTTTCTTTCTTTCTTTCTTTCTTTCTTTCTTTCCC